AAGACTGTTAAAAGTCTGTTAATTTATAACAGCATCTGCTAATACCTGCATTTATTAACTGTGATTACAATCAGATCTTGCTAGAACCAGTTGCGAACTACAGTAGTCTGTTACAAGTCTGTTAAAAGTCTGTTATCAAATTGTTAGTTAACTGTGATTACAATTTTAATGTACATATATTCACTTTCATTAATGTCAAGCCCATGCATTCCGCTTTAAATGATATGTTAAGCACATTCACAACATCCTTTGATACCCGAAACTGTATTTCATTAGAAAATAGCTGAACAACAAGCCGTTGGGATAAAAGTGAGCAAAAGGGTCTCCAATTTCAATGGATGGGCAGGACACGAAGCTACGTATTTAAATGTATATACATATATAAATATATATAAAGGTGGCTCGTAAAATAATTGTTTGGCATTAGCTGTTAATCCTGTACAAGTTGTTGGTAATTGAAACAGTTGCCTGTTGCCTGTTGTCCGAGTCCAATTAACCTTTGTCTTGGCCAGCTATGAAAATTCGGCTTAAACAAATTCAATTATTACGCATATCATGTACACAAAAAGGCAATTTCAAGCGATTTAAGTCGAGAGTATTTTCAATCAGTTTTGAATACTTTGTAAGCTGCTCTTTTAATCAAAATGCCCCAGGCAAAAGTGTGTGGGTGTGTGTGACAGTCAGAACAAATAATGACATAAACCTAATAATGCCATTGTTTTACGGACTGCTAATCAAAATAAACAACCGAACCAACCCTCCCCTCCCCTATCCAGGCTTTGCATTAAATATGAGCTCTAAAACTCTCGTTTAATATTTAAACAAAATCAAATCAAAAAAGCAAGCAGAGAGCAAGACAGAAGACAGTCTGACAGACGTGTCAGTCAGGCAGTCAGCCAGCCAGGCAGTCAGTCCTAGTTGGTTACATTAAATTGGAGCAAGGCCTCCGAAGAGGGGAAGAGGCGGTGTAGGAGCTGTGGGCGTGAGTTGGCGCTTTCAAATCGATTCACAAGAGCTTGGGGCCTAGTCGTAGTCGTAGCCGGAGCTGGGTCTGACACCGGGTCCGGGTCTCGAGCTGCTTGGGGGGGGCGCCACTTAAACTAATTTGATTTCTATTGAGGCAAACAAATAATAAATAATGAATTTACATTTCTATGCGTGCCCGCCGTAGCCAAGGAGCTGACTCCTTGCTCCTGCATTATCTGGCCGTGCGATACTTGTACGCAATTACGGACTTAGCCTTACAATTAGTTGGCCATAATTGCATCCGAGCGCCAAGTGGGTGCCAGGGAGACAGGCTCTTGACTTTTGCTAGTAAGCGGATTACAGCAATTAACCACTGAAAGATATCAAAATGCGAAAACTTAACTCATAGATGATGGGCCAAGGGGGAAAAGGACCTAGAGGGGCGCACGGGTGCATACTTATGCACTATTTTTGCAGCACTCCAGACTGCACTCAAAAGGATTGGATAGCTAAAGCCATTCACATGCACACATGCACACACACACACACACACACACACACACACACACAAATTTTGTATAGATACCAACATGGAGAGTACAACTGACCAGGGCCCGACTAAGGAGATACCCTATAAACCAGCTGCAATCAAAGTCGCACAAACCCGGTTCATTTCATTCATGTGGAAAATCAGATAAATGAACCACAGTTGAGAAACTGGTTCAAGCTGTGAACCGAAACGAAAAACCTGTCTTCATTGATGTGAAAAACCACGCAAATGAACCGAAAGCAAAGAACTGGTTTAAGCTGTGAATTAAACCGAAAAACCTGTCTTCATTGATATGAAGAAACAACTGTTGAACCAGGGACAAAGAACTAGTTTAGGCTGTAAACCGAACCGAAAAACATGTCTTAATTTATGTGGAAAACAGCTTCACGAACTGTGAACCGAACCACTAAATTTTGAGTTAAGATCAATCTGAGACTACTAGAGTAGTTAGTTAAAAATATGAAAATATATATAAGCCGAGTTTATATATATTATTTTACTTATTTTACTTTTTAAGCACAAAAGCTACCCTTTTCAACCATTTAAATGAGTACAGGGTATCAGAAATAACAGCGAATGTACACGTCAAGTGTTTAATGCTCGTAGAAAGGTTTTTTTTTATTTCGGGTTTTTCCATTTTAAAATTTAAGCTACAGTTACATATATATATATATATGGACTTTGCACATATAAAGAAGATCTGGTTCTGGGTCTGGTTTTGTTTCTGGTAACAGTATTCGGAGCATTGCGTGAAGACCCATAAATAAATCATGGAAAATAAAGAAACAAATGAAATGTGTAAGTCGGAAAACGGAAAAACGGAAAACTCGCTGAACGTGCAAATAATTGGTGAACTTTAAAAAAGAAAAAAAAGGAAACTGCTTTTAAAAGCGGAGCTTTAAATGGTTTTTCATATATCGAATTTTTTGTATATGCTGTATGCAATAAATAAAATACATATTTATGTACTCATACTTTCAGAATTTTCTTCTTTTTTTTTTTGTGAGATGAGCGAATGAAATTTACAGTGAAAGAGAGCTGTGTGTATGTGTGAGTGTTGGTGTGTGTGTGTGTGTGTGTGTGTGTGTGTGTGTGTGCGTGTGTGTGGATTGATAATAACTAGCTCGAAATTGCAGGTGAAAACCGAGCTATACGCTTACGCATGGACAGCATAATAAATGTTACAAAAGGTGCCTCTGTGGCTGGATATATAATAAATAAATGTCTATGGAAATCGGGTGCTGGGCATTTTCGTATTTGTATGAATTTAGATGAGTTTTATTTACAAATGAGTCGAAGCGACGCGGCCCAACAACATAGAGTTTGCCTTTTTTTTTTTTTTTTGAGGCGCGGGGCGGGGAGTTTACGTATAAAGCTCTATGTACGAGTAAATACAAAATATATATGAGTTAGAAGGTGCGTATGTACAATAACTAGACAAATTGTAACGCCTTAATTTTACAACAATTTCTGCATGTGACGGCCTTTAAAATATATGTATATTTTACAAAAACAATTTTCAAATGCAAATTTCAAAAATCCAATCAAATCAGAAAACTTTCTTTTATTTTTTTTTTTGTTTGCTATGTGTGCAATTTGATTTTTTAATATTATCTATAGTTTCCGTTTTTTTTTTATTTGCGAATTAAACTGTACAAAGCACACCAAAATACAAACACACACACACACGCACACACACAACAGAAAACAGAAAAAGAACAAGGTGTTAATTGTAGTTGGAGTATTCACAGTTAGTTGCCTGCAAAGCTGTATAAAGTAGAATTGGGCAAGCTAAACTCTCCACTCTCTACTCTACACCTACACAGGCCAGGCCCTTGTCTAGCTGCTGTAGACTTGCAAAGTCAGTGTTGGAAAATACACCCCTGTCCTGTTGCTTAGCACTGTTACGAAAAATACCAAATCTCTACAAGTTGCAAATGTAAACAAATCAAATGTGAAGTAGAAAATATTAAACTCTACATAGAGCCGTTCGCATTGAATCAAAGTGCAGCTTTGCTGGAAACTGTGAATACCCTATATATTTTGTATATATCTGAAATCTGAATCGAAAGCCATTTGTTTGGGTGTATGTGGTTGTTGTTGTTGTTGTTGTTGCTGTTTAGTTATTGCTGTTGTTTTAGTTGGGGAGTTGTTTAAAAATATTGAATTAAAGTAACAAAATATACATATCATATAAATATTGAATAGAGTTTGCAAATATATATAGATATATGTATATGTAAATGTTTTGTTAAAAAATATATTCGGAACAAACAATTCAATTGTTTAAGAAAATGGTTTTTATATATATTTACACGATTTTTGTTTTCATTAGTTCTTGTTTTTGTTTTTAATATAATTATTTACAGTTAAAGTCGAACTGAAAGAAATGAAATCAAGAACCAAGCAAAAATAAAAACGAAAACTTAAGTTTCTTTTGTTAAACTAAAATTTGGTTATAGTTTTCTTAAAATTCATTGCGGGCGGTTTTTCGGATTTTGACTTTAAAGCTGACGTGTTTGATTTTCATTTCTTTAGTTTTGCTTTTTTCTTTTCTTTTGTTTTGTTTGGTTCTGTTGGGACGGGTTAATCTGCTAATCGCTAATACGTTCGAGAATCGCAACTAAGCTAGCTTAATTGGATTGACACTAACGATTAAATAGTTGTTGATATTGGATAGCTGTTTGTTAAAATTGTTAATTGTATCGTTTGGATAAATTGCAACGTGTGTATGTTGAGAAAAATATACAATTCGATTTTGGTTTTTTATATGTATATATATTTATACAAATATATACATATATATATTCTTTTTTTATTTGCTTTAAGTGAGTTTAGAGAGACAGATAGAGAGAGGACCCTTGCCATAAACGGGGAGAATTATTTTTGTTTTGTTTTTTGGTATTTTTTAATATAGATATATATCATTTGGTATGCAGAGTATTTTTGTTGTTGTTGAGACTATTTACAAGTTTGGTTTGGTTTGGTTTGATAATTTTTTTTTATTTTTCAAAATAACTTAAAAGTTGCTTTAGTTAAAGAATAAATTTAAGAAATTTATCAAAATTATTGAATAAATTATTAATAAACAACGTAAAAAACTCAACTTTACTTGACAAAATACTAAAAAATAAAAAAAAAAAAAGGTAGAGAATCCTTCAAGTTTATGTGTTCTTTTTTCTTCTTCTTCTTGTTTTTGTCAGCCTTTCGAATGCAAAAAAAAACTTTTGTATTTTTGTTTTGTGACCAAAACAAAACCAAAATGGGATCAAAATTAGGAGTAAAAGTAAAAGAGTTCAAGAGTGAATATGCGATTAAATTATAATGATATGTTAGTTATGTTGGATCGAGAATCGAAATGTTAAGAGGTGGAAAAAAAAAACTGGTATTTTGAGATAGCGAGTTAAGAGAATAGAGTTTTTTTTGTATTTGGTTTTCTTTTCTTAAGTTTAGAATAATAAAAAAGTATAAAGTTAATGCTTACAATCATTCATATCGTCATTGGATCTCATTATGTACTGATCCGATGATGATAGTCTTGAATGCCCGTTCGTATTGGGATGAGCTCCCCCCCTATGATCACTTTGTTTATTAGAGCTACGCATCGCCAGTGCAGATGGATTCGACTGATGCATATACATACTATCACCTTCGCACTCACTTTCTTTATACTGGAGCACATTCTTATGCTTCTCATAGATAACCAGGCAACGATGACATCCTTTCCTAAAAAAAGTTTTTGGTTGCAACGAGAAGTTTTTGTATTGTGTTTGTATTCTTAGGATTTGTAGTTTATATATGTTATATATAAGTTTGTTTGTGTTTTGTTTTGTTTTTGTTTCTCTTTTATCTTTTATCTGGACTGTTGTTGTTTTTTTTTTTTATTTTTTATGGTGTTGGACTGTAAAGTATGGTGTTGGCAAAAGTTTTCGCAGTAGACACTTGAATGTAAAAACCAAATGCGTTTAGTATACTTAAATCAGGGCTTCTTAATTTTAATTTTTTGTTCGTTATTTTTATATTTATATGAATGAAATGTTTTTTTGTGCAAAACGCAGCAGGAAACATCCGGCTACATTCAAAACCCCATGATTTATCGCAGAAATTGAGTTTTCTTCTTCGATTCCCCAAAACAAACTGAGTTAACATGTCGAGCTGTTAAACTATCGATTTTTAATGAGTCGATATGTTCGATAGTTTCGATATGTATCGATAGCATCGCAGCTTTTAAGTCGAAAAAGTAGGAATACACTTTATTTAATCCACATCCAAAAATATTTAGGAAAAAAAGGATTTATATGATATATCTGAAATCTGGAAGATTCATGTCTTTGCTCTCAAGACATCTCTCCAATCAGGAGTGTATAGAAAGATATTTAACCGATTTATCGATAGTCCATTCGATAGTTTAGCTGCTCTACACGTAGCACAGTCTTCTATGTATGTTTGTGTACCAAAAATGGATGCTGTTTGGTTATATAAGTGTGTGTTTTTTTTTTATCAAAAAGACAACCCAGTTTGATGTGGGCTAGTTTTCAATTGGAAGCTAGATATTTCGTTATATTGTTGAAAACAAAAAATGATTATACAAAACGAACTGAAAGGACGTACACTTAATAACTGAATAGTTTAACCAAAATATATGTTGTTGAAAAGTGATGTTAAACAATTGGTAAAAATTGTAATTGAACACATTTTTCAAAATCAAAATATAGATGTTTTGGTTTTTTTTTTTATTCTTTTTCAGAGGTTAGGCAAAATGTGGGGGCTTTTGTTAGTTTCCTAGTTGGTAAATGGCACATACGATCATATGTAGTACGATACTTAAACTGTATTTGGTTATTATTATTTTTTTTTTGTTCAATATATTACGATAAATATTAATGAGATGAAAAAATAATTGGAGTACACGACAAGAATACTTACAAAAAAAATTGAGTAAAAATGTTCGTTTTAAAGAAGTTACAAAAAGACAAACAGATGTTAATTGGTTAACATCTTTTTGGATTTGTCTTTTGTGTTTTTTTTTTTTTTGCAAAAAGCTTTAAAGAGTTGAGTTTAAACAAAAATTTAGACACATTTCAGCTACAACCAAAAATTTGCAAGACTTTGTTGCTTAGTTAGATTTCTTAGAAATATATTTATGTAATAATAGTATATTTAATTGGAAACATGGCAAAACACAAAAACCAAAAAATCATGAGTATATAGCAGCCCATAATTATAGCTTATTTTTTTTTATAGTTTTTTTTGCTCTTTTATAAAAAACATTCAAAACAGAAAGGTTTTTGAATTATGGTACAAAAAGCAAAGTTCTTAAGTTTAGTACTACAACAAAAAATAAAAACTAGATGCAGAGCAGAGTTTAGGTGCCTGTCGGCACCTTTGAACCTATAAAAATAGTTTTCAAATTTAGTTTAACTTTAGAACATTTATAAGTACACAAAAAAAAAACGTTTATATATATATATATATATATATGTTTGGGTAGATTGGCTAGCTTCAGAGTTTCGGTACTTGGCTGGGCCTGTTGTCGAACATTGAAATTAACTCTCACACAGAGACAGGGGCAGGGTAGAGAGGAAGTAGGGACAAACTCGTTTCGTAGGCAAAGTTAGGAGCAGATGTCTGACAAGAGCGTCGACACGACAGGTTTTTTAGCCTAGCATCTGACTATGTCTCCGTGTCTCGATGTCAAATGCCTCTGTGTGAGAGCAACTGGCGCCCAGTTGTTGGGCAATGTTGCTGCGTTTTAAGTTCTTACTGCTGCTGCTACACTCAGAGAAAAAGGGATGTAGTTAATTGTGCCACAAGTGGCTAGGAATTTGTTCTTTAAAATTCAAATATATTACTCTCATTTTATTGTTTGCTAAGCAAATAATTACCAAGATAAGCTTGGTTTATGCTAAACATACTTGAAACAAGTTATCTTATACTTGAAATAAGTCTAAAAAGTCTTTATTTGCGTGTTCAACACAAAATTATTAAGAATTAAAGCTTGGTTAACGCTCAAAATACTTGAAACGAGCAAATTCATACTTAAAATAAGTCCAATGCTCAAAATACTTGAAACAAGTTCTTTTATACTTGAAATAAGTCCGCGAGCTTATGAAAAGAAGTACATAAAGTTAAATTGTTTAAATTGTCTAAATTTCATTAAATAGTTGTTTTACATCAATCAAGATAAGGATTAAATTAAGCAGGAAATCAATTAAAGAATTTCCGAAATTCAGTAATGTAATCTAAAAAAATATAGGTGATTTTTTAATTTTGTAAATTTAAATATGAACTTTATTGTGGTTTCTCTGAGTGTAATGCTACTGCTGCTGCCTGTGCTTGGGTCTTACCTTAGTCTGCCGTTCAACAGCCGACAAAACGAAACTTTATTCAATTATAGCCACTTGGCGCACACTCAAAAGTCAAATGGTTCAAAATGTACCAGAAAAAAAAAAAACGTAACATAACATAACCTACAAACAGGAAACACAAAAAAGGGGGAAGTACAAGTACAAGTACTTTTGACGCCTGTTCTGCTTTATCTTCTACTTCATCTGCTGCTTCTGCTTCTTCATTTTCTATTATCATCTTCTTTAATATCTTGTTTAACTTCTTCTTGAACATCATCATCATGTTGCTTGACTTTTCTTTTGTTTCTTTTCTTTTCTTCAATCTATTTGCCAGCCAATGTTGAGGCGCGTTTTTCGAGTGGAGTTGTTAGCATATTTTTATCAGAGACTGTATTGATTGGTACTTACTCATCGACTATCAGATATTTGTTACCATCTGATGCCGCACACCTGCCGCGGTAGCTGAACTGTGAGCCCTTGATGTGTATGGATTGCTGATAGCCAGATAGGAACCAGGAGCCCTCCCAGCGTGCCGGAAACGTGCAATTTGTGGGCGCTGCAAGGCGAAAAAATATACAATTTATTAATAAACAAAAAGGCAAACGGGCGGGCAAATAAATTATTAATATACATTTTAATAGCCAAATAAGTGAGCTATATTTGAATTAAACAACAATTGCCAGTGTGTGAATGTGTGTGTGTATGTGTGTGTGCTTGTGTTGGGTGTGAGTAGCAGCATGTGACCTCAATTGTGGTTCATTGTTCATTTAACGACACCAGCAACAAGAAGAGGAAGATGCTGCATAAAAGAGCAGCTCCCCAAAATGTTTCAATAATAATCAAGTCAGAGAATTATGGTCGAACGAAACCGAATGCGAAATACGCTAACAGTGTTCTATAATGATCTCAAAACAGTGTTGGAAAAGAGAGTTTTAAGTTTCAATAATAATCAAGTCAGAGAGTTCCAGTCGAACGAATCCGAAATACGCGTTCAGTATTATGTAAGGAGCTAAAAACAAAAGAAAGGTGCTAGAAAGAAAAAAAAAGAGCTAAAAACAGTGTTGGAAATCAGCCTTTTAAATCGTGGGACAAAACTATCGCGCTAAAATCAACTGAAAGAAATGAATTTGTACTGCAGCCACGTATAATTCAAAGTTAATTGGAGGATATTCAAGAAATATATAGACTCTATCTTCAAACTGAAACGCATATACCCATTCGTCACGTTGTGCACAGGGTATATCCACAAAGTTCATTATTGTACCTAACCATTGTTCACTTTCTTCGTTTGCTCTTCTAATTGTATTGTCAATTTTTATGCCAAGATTTGTGGCTTTTTAATTTATAAATTGTTTCAATTATTATTATTATGATTGTATTTAAGTGCGTGCGCATAAGTGTCAGCTTGTAAGTGCCCAAGTGTGTGTCTGTGTGCGTTTGTGTGTGTCTAAGAGACCAAAAATTTACGACCCTCCGCTGGCGCAGGGTCGCATAAATAAGTTGAACAAGCAGCAAAACCAGAAAACGGCTCGTAATAATAATAATGTCGCACACATACACACACACACAAAACTACCGAAATGGCAATTGTGAATATTAAAAAAAAAAAAAAGAGTATAAGAGTATATAGCATAAAGCATAGAGTATAAGGCAAAGAAAACGAACCGTTAGCTAAAGGCATGCCGCACACACACACACACACACACACGCACAACGGCAGCTAAAAGGGGCTGAGCAAAAACAATAAGTATAACCAATGCAATACATATATGCACACATACACGCACGACTAGAAAATGGTAAAACCACCCTGCTTTATGCCTGTTGGCTTAAGGGTGGGCAGGGTCGGTTCGGGCTGTGCCCGAAAAAGCCGAAGCCGAGCGCTCTACGCATTCAAATGTACAAAAGTCGCAGTCAGCAGAAGCAGAGACGAATGTGCGCACGAATTGACGCACACAAACAAGCACACACACACACTCAAACACACACACACACAGCGCAGCTATACACATTTTATTTTATTATTCCTTTCCTCTCCTTTCCTTTCCTTTCTTTTATTTTACTTTACTTTACTGTATTTTATTTTATTTCATTTTGCTTTATTTTTTTTCTGCTTTTGTTCTTTCTGTTATTTTTTTTTTTTTTTTTGAATTTTTTTTTGCTTCTCATTTTCATTTTGTTGTTTTCGACATTTGTGGCAAACAAAAGGTGCTCCTGCGCAGGATCAGCGAATCGCTGTGAACTCTGAGCCGCATTGAGCCCACCCCCCCTCACTTCCTTCCAGGTCCGCCCTGTTCCATTGTCCAATGACTTGTACATTTGTTCAGCTACCGATGCTGTTGTTGCGGTAGCTGTCATAATGTGCGCCCCCCCCCCCCCACCGCTACCTCCCACTCGCTGCTCCCCTGACCACTTTACCCCTACGCACAGTGGGCGTGTATAAAGTGTAGCATACTTTGCAGGGCAGCCCCAAAGCGCGCGACGGATTGTAATTGTTTCGCCAATTTCAAGTGCCGTGCATAATGCCCCAACATGATTCAATACTCTCCGCCTGAGTGGCCCAAAAAGCAGCAACAGCAACATCAGCAAAAAACAACAACAATAGCAGCAGCTACCCCCAAATTTTAGCTGCAGGATAAATCCAACAAAACTACACGCTAAAAGCAAATACGCCAGAAATAAACGCAACGGACGGAAGGACAGACGGACGGACGGAGAGACAGACAAGCGTGCAAATACGTATGGACAGTTCGAAATGACGGGCTTTACACACACACACACACAAATACACTCTCGCACACACACAAATACACTCTCACACACATACACTCTACCAAACATAGCAGAAAAAAAATGTACTTTTTTCTGGCATGTTTCGTGTGGATTAGTGTGGCTCAAGAACGCCTAGCCGAGTGGATTGGGTTGGGTGGAAAAAAAGGGGAAACACGGGCAGCGAAAGGGAAATATTTAAGCAACTCGAAAGAGTTGCGTTTGGCATTTTGTTCTTATCAACTGACAGTAATCGCTGGCATTAACATCGTATCGTATCGCAGCCGAAAACCCTTATCAGACTATATTTGGCACTGACTGGCATTGCGCGCTTTTTACGAGTTTAATTTAAAAAAAAACAAAAAGAAGGAAAAAGGTTGCAGCATGAGACTATTAAATACGAATAAGCCGGAGAGAACAGTTATGGGTAGATATTGCAAATGTAAAGTATGTTGTCTGTACGTTTTCGCATAAGAAACCACAATTTTCACATTTGCAAAAGATGTTGGTCTTCGCCCCGAGTTAATCGTGTCTTTGCGATGATTTATCGAATTTCGTATCGATGTTATGGAAAATAAATTAAAGATTCCTTTAAATGGAGGCTTTATTTTTTGACCTTTGAATGGAAAACTTTCCGTCGATTTGCTAAATCAAATCAAACCAATCAGCTGTTTCCCACAACTGACACTTGCTAATGGAATCGCCGAGTGTAAAGTTTGTAAATGTAGAAAATGTTGAGCACAGTGGAATTAAGCTATTATAGACTTGTCATACAATTTGAATTATTAGCTCACCGAAAAGAAAAAGGAAAAAACTACTTTTATGGAATTCATAACTTTTAGTCTCTCACATCATAATGATGGGCACTTTCTAAGGAGACCTTCAACCGGTTGTCAAGCATGTGTGCACTTATCTCAACGACTGTATCTAGATCTGGTTGTTTAATGACAGCTTTAACGCGCTAACAGCTCCTTAACCCAATTAAAACGCCCCTCCCTATAACAGCCTGCACCTTGTGGTGGGTGTGGACACATTAAGTGCTTGCTGGAGAGTGTGTTCTATCAGGGCGCAATGCTGGACCACCCTTATTGACGGGACAATGACTACGCAGCACACACACAGCACACACACAGCACACACACACAACACACACACACACAACACACACACACACGCACACTCAAGTGTAGCTCAAAGAGCATGACGCTTCGTTTTAGACTCATTTGCGTTTGCATTTGGAATTTGGACTTTCGTTTCGGTTTGGTTAGCGAGCCGGGCAGAGGGTGCCCGGGAGGGGTGGGCAGGGCGCCCCGAAAATGCTTTTGTCTAACTTGAGTGAATTATGGTCAGCGGTCGGTGGTCGGACGAATGGATGAACGAACGGACGGACAGACGGCAGTTGCTGACTGTTTGTTTCGGGCAATTTCCGTACAATTTGCCATTTGCTGTTGTTTTCTTATTGTTTTTTAATACCCTGTACCCATTGAAAATGAAAGAAAAAAGGTTATGCTATAGTTAATACTGATCGTTTTGCCAAAAATCAGTTATCATATTTTAGCATAGTTTTAAGATTGTAAGAGCTGGAGATGCGATAGCTAAAATACGTAAAGACCTTAAGCAGCTGAAGGGCATGTGTTCCATTTAAATATTAAGAGCTTTCGCTGAGAATATTCCAAACACTACTAACAAAATAAAAATAAATAAATAAAAAAATAAATAAAAATTACAGGGTATCTGCAAGTCGCTCAGGCGCAACTAAAACACTTTTACTTGCGTTTTGGTTGGTTTTCGGGGCAAAATTCGCTCATGGAGAAACAGTTGAAACGCATTTTACGAGCACGCAGATCTGTGGTCACAAACTACTTATGGATTCAATTGAGCATGACCAGGGAGAGGAGCGCAGATGGAAGCGAAGGCAATGGCGGAGGCGTCGGCGTCGGGGTAGGGGTACGCGTTGGGCGTCAGACAGACAGCAGCTGACGCTCTTCATAGCCCACTAAAAATTATGCTCAAAATTAAATGAAATGTTTGTTGTCGTTAAAGGGAGACGGGGGCATGGCCACTTGCAAGGGGATTAGAAAGGAGAGGGGGTGGGGGGAGGAAGGAGGGGGAGGGGGAGGGGGTGGTCTCCATCTTGGCGCAAGTCAAATTATAAATTCTTATCATAACGCTACTTAACGGCATGCGTTACGCGCATACTCTTCATCTAGACTCCTAGTCCACTTGATGTACCCTGTAAAAATATAGTGTAGGGCATATTTTTGTAGCTGGAGAGCTAACGACTTTGAATTTGAGAAAGACATAAGTTTATCGGCCTTTTCTCACTGTCCTTAACATTGAACTAAAGCCTAGAGCTGGATACAAAAAGATTACCCTGTATACTCCCTCAGCTTACCCCTATTTTTCCTATGCTGCGCTCTTGTCAAACAGATTTCAATAATAATATCTTTAAGCTACTTCAGTTAAATCGTTGACAACTTAATTAAATAATAATATTCACGTGTGCAATAAATAAAACTTGACTAAAATAATGTGCTGATATTAAGCGTCAATCAATCAAGCGCAGCCTTTCCTCAGTTGCCACTTAAAGAAAATGTTTTTACAGGATATCACTGAGTGAGGCACTCTCCGTCTCTACTTGCTACTCACCATCTTGACGACCGCCCCAGCCGCTAACGGACGTGGCCAGCAGCAGCGTCAGCAACAGCGCTCCGAGCCAACTTTTTGTCGACGTCATGCTGTTGCTGCCGCAGCTCGTTGCCAGCCTGGTGATTGGCTCCAGCTGCCCGAACCTGCCCCAGCTCCTGCTTCTGCTCCTTTCTAATATTGTTGTTGTTGTTGTTGTCGTTGTGTTCGTTGTTTGCGTTGTCGCATTGGCGGCGGAGTTGTTGGCGTCTTGGCTGCTTCTGTTGTTGTTGCACAGTTGCCGCCGCAGCAGCTGCTGCCACAATTTTAGCCACGTAATGTTAGGAAGTTGATACCACTCCTCCACCTGCTCCTTCTCCTGCTCTTGCTCCTTCTGCTGCTTTAGACGTTCCAGCGCACTAATATCACCGTTGTAGTTAAAGCACCTACATTCATCTTCATCGCCAAGACCATGCACCTCCTCCTCCTCCTCCTCCTCCTCCTCCTCCTCCTCCTCCTCCTCCTCCTCCTCCTCCTCCTCCTTCTTCTCGTCCTGGCCACTTGTGGCCAAAGCCCTTGTCGTTGTTTGCGAACTATTTGTTGCAGCTCCTTCTGCGGCTTCTCCTTCTGCTGCATTGCTGATTGGTTTTATTGTATGTCGTTCACGTCGCTGGCGCCGCACAATCGCCAGGCATTCCAAGACGTGGCTGCTGCCGCGGCTGCTGCCACCTACAACAATTGGCATAACTAATTGCGTTGCCTGTCTGAGATCGTTGCAGCTATGCGCCAGTGCGTCCTCATCCGCGCTTAACTGAATATCACGCTGCAGGAATTTCCAGCCAGTCGCTGGCGAGCATGTGGCTGTGGCTGAGACTGTGCCCGCTGCTGTCAGCGTCGGCGCTGCGGCATGTTTATCATAATTTTTATGTCGCCGACTACAGCAACAACAACAGCAGCTGCTGCTGGCCGCAGGCACATGTCCACATGGCTGGCAGAAAGGCGGTAAATAGATTAACGACGTGGCTCTGGCTCTCGCCTTGGACGTGGCCATAGTCCTGCTCCTGCTTGTGCTCGTTCTCGTCCTGACTGCGGCCGCCTGCTGCATCTGCTGCTCCTTCTCCTCCTCCAGCTGCTGCTGCGTATTCTGCGTGGGGTGCAAAAGACAAGAGTGGAATATTTGATGATTATTTTATACATAAAGAAATACATTTACATATATTGTAAATGGCATATACGAGCTGTATAAAGGCAAGTAAATATGATATAAGGTGCCGCATTTGAATTTAAAACATGATGCATAACCTAGCTGCAGCGAGTCGACGATTAAATACACTTGTAGACACAAGGCTTACGAACCTACAAATATGAGAAAAATGGCTATCAAATATATCCTAATAGACAAATAATTTTTCATACAATTAATTTTCGACAGATCTTTTCTATGGCAGCTATATGATATAGTGGTCCGATCCATTCGGTTCCGACATATGCACTGCGTTCAACAGCAACGGAAGGAAGGACGGACAGACATGCTTTTATCAAATCAGCTGTTGATACTGTTCAAGAATATTTATACTTTAGGGTGTCGAAGATGTCTCCTTTTATGCATTACACATTTCCAGACAAATGAATAATACCCTCTGGAAGGTTATAAAAAGGATCTATAGCACATTTCACGAAGATAGTCTATGCATATCAACAGACGTGACAGAGAGCCTATCATAGCTATCATGACTCGACTGTCGATAAAGATATATATATTTATTATATACATATATATTATACTCTGTATGATTGCTGCTGGCTTCATCAATTTGTTGCACATTTTGTTGGCAAAATGAAGATGCCCTCTATGAGAAAGTATAATAAAGCGCCACCGCAGCGCTATTGTTGCCGTCGCCAGCACCCCCTCCCCCTCATCTCACACACACACACAAGTATATATTTACATACCATATATACACATGGATAATCCCAAGAAAATTCATTGTTCAACAATCCACACGCACAGCCTAAGCTCGAGAGCGGTTGGGGGAATTGCAGTTGCCCACAGAAATAAAACTTCCTCGACGGCGCATTAAAAAGCAATAAAAATAAAAATAAATATGTGCTCTGGGAAACCAAACACTCCGATCCAAATAAAATGTCCAATGGCGCGTAAATCAAAACTCACGCGCTATAAAAGAAAAAAAAAAACCCCCCAACACACAAAAAATTAAGACAAAATTTATAGATTTCGTATACAAATTTCTTATATCTCCGGCATTGCGTTGCCTCTTCCGTTTAATTTTTTTGTTTTCCTGCATTTAGCGCCTCCGGCCAAGGGGCAGCTGGGGGAAAGCAACAATATCGACAAAAGCAACAACAACCACTTGAGAGACTACTTCTTTTTTTTTTTGACTAAAAATTAAGTAAAGAAAAAAGTTAAGGAAAAGAAATAGGCCATACTCGACACATAAATTAAGTTTCAAAACTCTTGGCGCATAATTTGTGGCACCAACAATCGGAGAAGCAATAATCATGACTATAAAAATCATTAATTGGATGTGTTAATCGACTTTTTCACCTAGCCGAAATAGATCGCAAGACAATTAAGGCTACCAACTGATTGACAGACCGATAGACTGATTGATAAGTTTACTGAGTGACTGACTGATTTACTGATTCATTGATTGATTGACTGACGACTGAACAACTGACGGATTGCCTTATTCACTGATGGACTGACTGCTTCAGTGACTGACTTACTTACTGACTAAGTGATTGACTGACTGACTGACCAGCTGACTAATTGACTGACTGATCGACTTACTGACGGATTGACCGATTGACTGAATGAATGAATGACTGACTATCTGACTGACTGATTTACTGATTCATTGATTGATTGACTGATGACTGACTGACCGACTGATTCACTGATTGAGTGACTGACTAATTGATTGATTGACTGATGTACTGACTGATACACTGGCTGATGGACTGATTACCTGACCGACTGTGATTGACTGGTTCACTGATCGACGAACTGATTGATTGACTGACTCACTGACCAACTGACAGACTGAATGATTGACTGACTGATTGACTGACTGATTGACTGAATAATTGATATAATGACTGATTGATTAAATGACTGTTTGACTGACTGACTGATTGACTGCCTGATTAATTCACTGACTGACTGACTGATAGCAATGTTTAGTTCACACTAAGACGGTATTTTTGAGAATTCCGCCTGCACGTGTGAAATATCGAGATGAAAAGGTTACTTGAATCTAATATGCTTTTCCTTTAATAAATATTTAGCACTTTTTTAAGTGATTTTTTTTTTTTAATGGAAAAGGTCCTAAAGGAATTTCAGAATATTTAACACAACAGAGCACGCATCTATTAAAAATCTCCTAAAAGATATTTCTAATTAATATGACCAATTAGTATGTTAGAACTGAATTTAACATAAGGCAGGTTCGTCAAGGGAGGGGGGGGGGGGCTGAATGGAGGGGAGCCAGGGGGTCATATATAAGAGCATAAAAGTATGTCGGTACTTAAAAGAGCAATCGCTTCGAAAAGCTTTGAGCACATTATGCACATTAATGAGCATGTGAATGGAAGCCAACCCCCTAAGCATTGTATATGGCTGCCATAGCCGAAATCAAAAGGCCAGAAACATACACACCCTCGCTCTTCCCCCTCCTTCCCCCATCACCAAGACTTTTGACGAACTTTAGCATGCGAGAGGTACGCAGCGTATGGGAGAAGGATGGTCGGCAGAAGACATAATGCAATTTTCATGTTGTGTAAGCGCTGCTCTTAGCCCATCATCTATGCTAATTAAGTTAATTAAAAAGTACCAGCAAAGTATTTGCACTTGGCCAACTTCACGTCATAATCAAAGTTGAAGCGCATCGCATCGCACGGAAAACGAACGAAGCCCAAGTCATGTCAAATGCTCTTAAAAAGCCAGCAAAGAAAAGCCCAGAGACGACGTCAATGCTTCTGCTTCTGCTGCTGTTGATGGCTTTGTGCGAAATGGAGATGCGAGATGGAGCTAGAAATGGAGCTGGAGCTAAGAATGTCGCCGCCATTCACACTGTGAAGTGTCCACATAAAAAATAATAAAACCGAAATAAATAGAAAGAAGATGAAACCAAAAACGAGGCCAATTATAAGCCTCATCATTAATTTAAATAAAATTTAATTTCCATTGGCTGCCGCAAAAGCGCAGAAAGAAACCAATAAAAGAGTACGACTAGAAGATGCCCTGTAATATACAACTTCTTCTCTCTGCTTCACGATATTGAAAATTCATTCATTAATAACATCTGTGTCTTTGATTTGGATTTCACGAAACTTTCAGCAATTGAAGAGGAAAGGGTCGAGTCCAAGAAGAATGATATATCAATATTGATATTAATATATTAATTAATTATAATATTAATTTAATCATTTAGAAAATAATATTATTTTATGTTATATATTAGAAAATGAAAATTAAATGCCAAGAACCTAATTAGAATACAAATATCTCTAATATCATCCCCAACACATTGGATGTATTTCATTTCCCCGTCCAACCATCCGTGCCCATTTTCGCAGCCAATTTTGTCAGTGAACTTATTTGAGCCTACAACTTAGAAGGAATTTTTTAGTAGAGAAAATAGAATTCTTAAGTAACAATGAAAATAAACTTAATATATCTTACTATGTTATTAAAGAAAATACAATAAATAGGAAAGTAGATAGCGAAAAAAGTTAATAGCCTTTTTTATTATAAAGAACTGTTTACTAGAAAATAAAAAAATTAGTAGATATCATGAGGATATATTCATATATTATTATACTATATATTATAGAAAAAGGAGTCTACTCTATATACTAGAATATAGAAGATAGAATAAGAGAGAGGGAGAAAGAGAGAGAGATATTTATATACTATTATTATAGGAAAAATTTCCTACTCCATATACGTATATAATGTTTATTAGATAAAGAGATATATTTAAAAAAAAATGCCCTACTAGTAGGATCTACGTTAAGTTATATACGATAAAGAGGTAGTGATATATTATTATACGGTAATATGCTAGTTTATCGAGTGTAAGATAAATAGAATAAAGAGATACGATACGAAAAAGGCCCTACATTCTATATTTCAGCTGAAATGGGAGAGTTGTCGATCTTTTGATCGATCTTTGCATAGCAAAAAGTTGAGCTGCTTGAGAAATAAAAGATTCTGCATAATTTTTGTGGTTCTGAGATGAAGGCATTTATATAACAAGTCTATAAATATTATATATGCTTTTCGGGTACGAATATAAAGCACTTTTGCCCATTGGGTATAGGGTATAATGGAGCATAGCAGTGGGGGAGGCGGACAGACAGACAGCAGGCGGTGGCCAATAAAACATTTAGGCGGAATTATAATTTTGTTTTGTGCCTTATTTATAATTTACGTTTAAAATGTGAAACACCTGACAGCTAAAAAACGAATTTATGTTTGCATGTTTCCCATTAATTTATTTTTCCAAAGCGCAGAGGAAAATGCCAGGCGAGGCCCAGCCCAGACCCCAAAACGTTCGGCGCTGCACGAAAATGCACGGCACAGCGGGCACTGGGAAAAGCCCGTGGAAGACGCTGCCAAGGCAGAAAAATATATATATATATATTTATATATGTATATGCGCCAGGCACATTTTGCCAGCACGTTTGGACTATAAAATAGGAAGACGGCAGACACCAGTCGGAGCCGCAGTTGCAGTTGGAGCCGGAGCCGGAGACGTAGTCGCTGATGATGTTGTTGATGACATGCAGCGCCGGGGCCTGCAGACCAGACCAGACCAAAGAGCCCAAACCGACGACGACTCCTGCGAAAGTTGTCAAGTAAATATAAACGAAATATGTGGCACGGTCACATTCATGCCACGCAGCGCCATCGCCACGCCTTCTGCTCTGCATTGGCGTCTTGTGGCATTTGTTGTTGTACCCTTGCCTCGTTGGGCATTATCATTTTGCCAACAAATATGTGACGCATCTCAGAGAGCTTAAAATGTATCTATTCTTGGACAGCATCGAGAAGAAAAGGAGCCATATGCGTCTGCCTGGGTGATGATACTTGGCATAGACCCGACTTTGAGTCGCGCCTTCTTTATCATAAAAGCAGTTCCCATGAAGAATGAACAGTTTCCTTGGTTTATCAACATCCAGACAAACTCTGTCAGATATTCTATATCCCAATGGGTTTTTTTTATCAGTCAGGTGGTCAACACAGAGCCTAAACAGTTAGAACTATAAAGTTATTTATGGAGCTCTTAGATCCAAGACTCGACTTCAAAGTGGGCTAACACGATGGTCAAGTTTTGTATGAAAAACATCGAAAATGCATCCATAAAAGTCAGCTTTACAAATGTGACAGCAGATCACAGCGCTTATATCCGAAATATGTAACATTTACAAACTTCACATTCTGCGATTCCATTAGCAATCATCAGTTGTTGACAAAAGTATCGCCTTTTTAAATAAGCAGCAGATCGATTAGACTTGATTTTCATTCAAAAGTCAAATAATACGTCAAATAATAATACAAACAATATGTGAGCGTCGAACCAGCCAGTAGACAGTTACCAGTTCAAGCTCAAAAGCAATTTTTAATCTTAACACGATCTGCCTAGCTTTATGTGTTCTTTAAGGGTATTGAATATTCGGCAACTGACAAAAAATATATCGCTTCTTGTTTGTCTTATTTTATTTGCATTTTATTATTATGATTTTTCAGCCGGCCAGACGAAGGCGCAAACGAAGACACATAAAAAATATTTTTATGCAACACTTTTACGATTTCCGTCTGGCTGCGGCTGCGGTTCGCGGCTGTGACAAAAGGCTGGACCCGAAAGAACAGCTCCCAGCATCCATCTTCCATCTTGCATCTTGGCAAATGGCAGCCTCCTTCACCTGCTTTCAATTAAATGACACTTTCCCCTTCTCATTACGATTGAAATGTTGTTTGCCAACGGAGCAAGGAACTGGAAATGGGAATGGGGGGGTTGGTCTTCTCTTGGTGTTGATGTCTGACATTTGGGCGCAACGTTTCGCTCCCTTGTCTCACTTCATCAATCATTCATTTCGTTTATTTTTAGTGAAAATAATCACTTTGAGCAACATATGCGAACCGACACGAGTTTCGCATGTGTTTTCGCAAACGGGAATGGGCCATGACAAAGTGTTGCGAGATGCGGCTCGTCCAGCTTTAAGCAATTATCAAATGGACCCAGCCTGGCGAAGGACATGCTGCTATAATTTTGACTGTGAAATGACTTTATTGGTTTTTGTGGCAAATTGGGTTGGTTTCAAGGGGTGGGTCTCAAGGATCTGTGTGTGTGTGTGTGTGTGTGTGCCTGCACAAGACAAAGAGCTTGGGTTACACACGGTTAAGCTGGGGATAATAAAGTAGTAGAAACAAGCCGTACGTACCGCGCCAATTGCAGCACAAGGATCTGGCAGTCAGGTAAAAAGGAACTTAACAATAACACGAAGTTTTTCATCGGGCATGCATTTCCTATTGAGAGCAAGCAGTTGGCAACGAATGAGGGTAGCCTTTCATGAATAAGTTGTTTAATGAACGTCTAGCCTCGCATTTTTAGAGGTATCCTAATGAAACTTGACATTAATCCATCAGGCAATATGTTTAAAAAGGCCAGACTGTATCATCATAAATATGTATACATCCTATAGTTGGCGTATTGTTCGAGAACCCTTTTTTTCGTTTAAGTTTTATTAACTATTTTGCGAAGGTATACATAATTCTGCTGCAGGAACTTCAATGGAGACATCGTCAATAACATCATGAGGATGTATTTCATCTACAGAGTACATCCAAAACTTTGGATTGGAAATTCCGACAGAAATATTTCCACTGAGTTTAATATTCTGTTCTCTTTTCTATCAAGTAAAGGCTCTTTTATGACTAAGAAGGCAGTTGATGAAACCACAGATAAAGTATTCTTTCGAGTCAAAAAGTAGCTTTTTCCCATATCATCGCCTACTTTTTTGTGAGACGGCCTTTCCACTAAGTACACGCCCGTGGAAACTTGGAATCTAATCATTTTGAACTCCACTTCTACCTAAAAATATGTTTTAAGTGCATCGAATAAAACAAGTGACGAACCAAGTGTTAAAATCAATCATCCATTTCAGTCTCAAGCTGAGAATCTTGAAGCTGAGGAATAAACTTGCGTTTATTAAACCTTTAACATGCATTTGCCACCCAGGAACGTATCAAATAAATTCTCACAAAGATCTTTAAACATGATCGAATCGTAAACGAAAAATTTGCATTGAAACATTTTTCACCACTTGCGGGTGGAATTGCCTGAAACCCCGTCTTAAGAAGCATCTTCATCACTTCAAATAACTACAGTGAAAATTGCATCTTTCTAGCTCTGATCTTCAATCTCAGTTATTCATTCATTTAGTCATACAGATACATTTCGAATATCAGCTATATAGTATAATGGCAAGGAAATTCAATCTTCAACCCGCCGAAGAGTTGGGAAATCTAGATCAGTTTAATCCTGTGTCTTAATCGTATCTAGATTTAACTCGATTTTAGATCGTCCGTTTTAACTATCAAATTTCAATAGTTATTTTATTTCCCAGTTCACTTGGTTGTTGACCTCGCATAACTCATGAATTTGAACGTATCTAAAATCTTATTGCCTTTCCATTCCAAAACTGCCAACACAGTACTTTGCACAGGATATTTCCCGTATATATGACCGTCTGCATTACCCGTATAAGTTATTATTATGATTAACTGTAGTCGCAGATATCACCTTTCTCTTATCTCTATACTACATAAATTGCAAGCTATGCCTGACTGTAGACCCAATTCACAAAGATATGACCAAGATTTGCACAACACACAGAAGGAAGACCAGCTCTTTTTCCGTGAAATTACGTATATTTGTGAGCGGATCTTATCTCTATGAGTTGGCAGCTATTGTAGTAATAATTTTTCATTCCCAACACCCACACACACGCACACACACACACACACACGCGCGCGCAAGCATGTTGCGGGAAAATTAGTCAACACGGTGAAACAGCTCGAGGGAGGAAGGGGGTTCGGAGGGTGTCGCGTAATTCACTTAATGCAACGCATTTCCGTTGTGCTGCGGGTTCGAATCGTCATCGCTATCTGAAAAGCCAGGCAACATGCCAACATGATTTTTATCAGGCCTACAAATGCACATAAACCCTATTGTATATTGTGCCTTACAGTGAAAGCTCTTTTGAGCGGACAACTGCGATATTCGGAGCTTCAGATAGTTGTTTTTTAATGTTCCTCTTTGTTATTACAAGTTCGAGGTATGTACACGATATTTTTCGATTTTAATTGATGAATTCAAAATATGCTTTAAGTGCAGCACCCACTGAGTCCTCTATTGGGTCCACTTATTAGGTCCCCCATTGGGTCCACTCGTGGTACAACTCCGTGCCCACTTAACACCTCTCTTTTATTCCCTAGAAATTCACATTCCATTCCGCTCTTCTTTCACCTTAGACCATTTCTTATTTTCAAGCCCAATTTACGTTGTTTTTAGATTCAAACTAAGTTCACCTCCGTTTTAGCGACAATTTTATGTAAGAGAAATTTGATTCAAATATAAGATGAATAAATGAGAATATTGGAAGTGAAAATCACATTCCATTCCGCTCTTCTTTCACACTGGAACTTTTTTATTTTCAAATCCAGTTTGTGTATAGTTTTTCGATTCGAACTTATTTCCGCTTCGCTTTAGGGACAATGTGAAATAATTTAAAATGAAAAGATACTTTTTGTACAAGAAATTGTATTCAAATATTAGATGAATAAGTCTGAATAATATTCACGGAGCGTGGGAATTTCTCGATTCTCGATTTGCTGAACACGTTCGTGAACTAAATCGGTCATTTAGTTCGCTCGTTCAGTTATTTATTCAGTGAATATTGAAAGTGAATAATCCCCCGGCTAAAGCAGATTATCACCCAGGTAGTTCCTCAGTCGAGTTCTCACTGTAAATATGTCGATAGCATAAATATGAAAAGGATTGGACCGCGAAGCGAAGTGCAATTGCAGTGCGCGCACCTCATTGAACTTTTCAGACAAACACAATTTGTCCGATAAGGAAAAAAGTCTACACGACACGAGGCGCGGCGAGGCGGGGGGCGTGCCGGCGCAACGTACGGACGGCGCGCACTAATGGCCACCATTAATAATTGAAAAACTGAAACAGTTGAGCATGTGAGCGAGCTGCTCGGGGGAGGGGTTGGTTTGGGTATCTAGGGGGGTTTGGGATGCCAAAGCATAGCTAAGTCTTGGGGCAGCGAGGGGCGAGGGTCGGCCGCTGGGTGGGTGACAAAAATCTATAACCAAAAAAAGTTATGAATAAGCGAACGAAACGAAAACGAAGCAACGAGCGCTGCGCAGGCTGCGGCAGCGAACGAGCTGAGAGGCAGCGCCGGCAGCGGAAAGACGAAAAAAGCAACAAAAAAGAAGAAGAAAAAAAGAAATGTTAAAGCTACAAACCTGTTCTATGCTGGCATCGCTGCTGCGCCTCGCTTTGCTGTTGTTGTACATGGCGAGACCAAGGGGCTGGCGATGCTGCGGCGCTGCTGGCGACACGGCGACAATGTTGAAGCTGCTGCCGTTTTGCTTATGCTTGTTATTGTTGTTGCTGTTGTTGTTGTTGTTGCAGCAGTGCTGGCCGCAACCAAATTGTAGGGAATCGCGTGCAAAGCGCAGTCAAGCAGCATTGGAAAATTACAACAACAACAACACAAATATGTTGCCTTTTTCTTTGTGGCTGCGATTTTCCGACGATTTTTACTGCTGCAGCTAAAGAATCGCACAAAACGAAACTGAGACGGCGACTGCGACGGCAACGGCAACGTCAACGGCCACTGAGTCGCTTGGACTAACGGCAGTTATAGAGCTGAGCAGAGCAGAGCAGAGCACACAGCCAGGCAAAAATATTGGAGCAAGGTGTTTCCAAACAGCGTCGACCGAGCTGCAACTGAGCAGCGCTCAAACGACACGGCGAATTCGCTGCGTCTTTCTGCGCAAAAGCAGAGCTGAGAGCTGCAGTAGGTTTGCCTCTCCTTGTGGTTGTTGCCGTTGTTGTTGTTGTACTCTGTGTGCGTCTCCCACCACCAACGGGCGAAGAGTGGGCAAGTTAAGTCTGTCGCCTTATATTTTGTTGGGGCTGCTGCTGCTGCTGCTTGCGCTCGCGCTCGCGCTCTGCCGCCTGCCTCTGTGTCAATCGAATTAAACTGAGAGCAAACTGAGTAATTGGGTTTAGATATTTTTCCGTAGATAGATCGAGACAATGTTTTCTATATTTTCTTATTGTGTGCACATTTATTAATTCAATAATTGTGCTGGCTGACTTTTGGTTTAAGCCACAGCAAAATTCTGAAGTCACATTCACTAACACACGCACACGCACAGGTACACGCACACACACACGTACACGACAGTGTATACAAAAATCTGCACACAGTTTTCAATTTAGATGCGTTTGAACTTCGGTTCTGGCATTGTGTTGAAATAAACCTTGAACTTAAATGTTTCTTTTCGTTTTCACTGCTATTGGATGTATTTTTGTTTTTCTTATTTTTTCCAGCAATTTACGCTTTTCTTTGTTACGATTAGTTTTCTGCTTGGCTTTGTAGAGTCTCTTGCAAGCAGCGGCACAGCCTGTGCGCAGCGAAAAACTTCTGCTGCAATACACAAATTTCTTTATTTGCTGCGCGCACCACCTACCAGAAGCTGAGAAAATAATAAAATATCTACGCGACGCGCGAGACGACCGTACGCTTCGATACTGTGAAAACGAATGAGCGAACTCGCGGCATCGATGTTTCGATATGTATAAGAGAATTTACAAGCGATGTATTGAAATCGATTTCTGAGCGATACTATCGATAGCTATGAACTAGTTCGAATATTTGAGAGAACAAAACGAAAATTATTTAATTTGCCTAGTTTTGCTTGTATAAAGAGCAAATTAATTTAATTATAAATATTATAAAATTATTTTTAATACGACATGGCATAGATATAGCCACAGGCATTGGCATTCGTGCTTCATAAGCGTTCACAAATGAACCACCATGTTTTCAAACGCCGCGTAACCGTTTTAACGGTCATCGGAACCGCTTGAATTATTTAAATTTGAGCAATATTTGTAACTGTATGCTCAACGCAAATGTGAATTGCAGGCTTTATATTTAACTGCTGCCTTAACTAATCGCAGGCACTTAACGCCTGCCCGTTATGCAGTTAGTCACACATATTTGTTCAGCTTTGTCCACAGCGCAACGCAGTCTCCTCCACACATACACATGCACGCATGTTTGTGTGCGCGTGTGCGTGTATTTGTTTATGCATGTGCCACACACATCGCATGGAATTTATGAGACACAATTCAACTGTATGAAAATCTGAATCAGCTTTCGTCTTTCTCGGTCAAGCTTTTGTATAAACAAAACAATATTTACACAAGAAATTAGCAAAGTGCCGCAGACAATATCAATTCACGTTCAAGACTTCAAGACGAGAACAAAAAACTCTACAGATAAAATATATATATATATATACATGATTCGATTTCCGATCTACGAGCAGCCCAAAATGTATGAAATGGTTAGCTAAGCTCTGCACGTTAGACAACACTGAAAAATTCTAATCGGAAGTGTGGAAAACTTGTTAAAATTCAATCGAGGCCTGTTTTACAATTTTTGAAATCTCTTCTGGGATTGGAAGAATTTCTGGAAAGACGCGTTTGAGCCTCAACTTTCGATATTTTGGAAAATTCACGCACAAAGCTCTGAATCTATTTCTTTGTCCAATCTACACATTTACTAAGATTAGCGTTAAAAATAATCGAAGTACTGTTTCACTCTTTTTACAAGACTACGAGAAATTCGAATCATGACAAGTTAATCAAATAAATAAATAATAAAAAGAAGCCTATGTTATTTGATTATTTTGTAGAACTCATTTGTACACAGAGCAGCTGTGTAAATTGGGACTGTTAACAATAATTCTGATAAATCTGAAACTGAAAGAGAATCTCTTTTATTAACTGGAAAGAAGAAAGAAATACTTTGTTGGGGGGGGAATAGCTAATGCGAGCTGTTCGCATCGGACGTTGTCTTCTTTGCCTCCATTTGGAACTGTGGCCCATGATTGTGCTGTTGATTCTTGACGACCAATTCCCCGGTGCTGGAGCAGGTGATGATGCGGGCAGCGCAGCGCAGATACCTGTTCCGGGCGCACAACCAATAGGTTTTCGAGCCGCGGCTGTTGTTCCGGAAGTACTCGAAGCCGCCCATCAAAAGTTTCGGCTTGCCCTTGGTGCCCTTGACAATCATGATGCCCTGCTTCCGCACCAGATCTGCAAATACATGGAACAATTAGAATACCTCAGAGCTTCGATCAGGTGAAAGTTAAGCCTAGACTAAAGTAGCGTGCATTATTCTATGCGACAAGGGCGACAATTGTTTCGGCTTTAGCAAACAGCATTTATTATTGACTTGAGCTCGAACTTGGATCCGTTTTAATCTATGGGATCAACAGTTCAATTTCCGTTCCAGGAATGCGTGTATTTCAGTCTACGTTGATCCTTCTCATCTCGTCTTCGGTCTTAGATCCATTACGTACTCGAACTGAAACGGCAGGAAATTTATTGTTAGTGCAAAAGTTTTTTATATTTCTTGAAAAATGATTTTCACTCTTTCCACAAACCTAGGTGAAAGTTAGGTGAATTTCTGTAAAATCACATTCCTAGGTGGAAGTTAGGCGAAAGTGGATAAATACCGATTTACAAGCCCGGAAAATGTTGTAAAAACTTTGTTGATTTCTTTTACGATAATCAAAATCATTTCGAAAAGTTCCGCGTGAGAGGTAAATCCACGAATTTTGATGGAAACTGGAATTAATGCCATAGGCTTAAACTGAGTTTGTCGTGTGATTATTTATGTTCTTATATTGACCGGTTTTGCCCGGCTATGAGGCTAATTATTAAAAAGTAAACTTTGAAGCGCTTTCAGTAATCCAACATTGGAAACTCTGGCTCGTGATTATGCTCCGGATTCTTGACCGCCAATTCGCCGGTGCTGGAGCAGGTCATGATGCGGGCAGAGCAGCGCAATTGGCGACGATTCTGGGCGCAAACCCAATAGGTTTTCGAACCCTGACGACTTTTCCGTACGTACTCAAAGCCGTCCATTTGAAGCCTGGGAATGCCCATGTTGTCCGTGACGGTCAGGATGCCGCGCTTGCGCAACAGATCTGTGAGATGAAAAGAAAGATTCGATTAACATAAGCTGAGCTGGAATTTAAAGCTAAACTAAGGTAATTAAATATCCATTGAATAGGGCGAAAGTTCTTTAGACATTTCGTAGGACATTTATTAAGGTTTCCGCTTTAAATCTAGAGGATGTGGCCGACGCTTTCACAGTTTCCCGTTTTTCGGCTACACTTTTTCCTTTGCCCTTCCGTTTGCTTTGCCTCATGAATGCGAATGCTTGGCGTACTTTATCCTGTAGACCTCCTGGCCGCTCTTCAGCTCGTGCGTCGTGGCCCGCACCTTGCAATTGGCGCTCCGATATCGCGCGCAACGCCAATTAATGCTGCTTTTGAGCTTCCGATCCATCACGAACTCATGTTTGTCTATCAACAGTTTGCGCTTCTTCTTGCGGGTGCTCGTAAAGTTGGCCAGAAGCATTATATCTGCAATGTGAGAAATTGTAGCGAGATTAGTGCGAAAAGTTCTTCGAAATTCGACAAGAGCATCCCCTGTGTTGGGGCACAAAGCTTTTCGAGCTGCAAACATTTAAGATACGTTTTATTTTTCATTCAAATATTAATAAACACTTGGGTTGAGACCGTAAAATACACTTAAAGCATTTCTATTATAATTCGTATATCATATATATGTAGAGTTTTATAGTTACATTGCGGGTTTGAACTGGCAACCTCTAGTTTTGCAGTTCTCTGGAGACCTAAAATACACCTCAAAGCATTCAACTCTACAAATATATAAGTATTATAATTTGTATATCATATATATAGAGTTTTATAGTTACATATAAACACCTAATTGTGGATTCGAACTGGCAACCTCTAGTTTTGCAGTTCACTGGAGACCTTAAATACACTTGAAAGCATTTAACGTGCCAAAGATCGTGCTTGATATAGAGAATATAAAAGAATTTTACAAACTGGAGACTCATCCTAAGCTCCATGAATTTGTATTATGTTAAATAGTATTTGTTAGAGTTTTAAACAATCAATCTGGCTCTCAAATAGCTGCTGGCCTGCGGCCCAGGCGAGGTCGGAATTCGAACCTGCTTCTGCTCAGTTCATAAAAATATAATTGAAATCAAAATTAGTGTTGCTTTAGGAATTGAATGTGTTGTGAGTATCCCCTAGGTGATCCTAGGTGCGCCCGCGCAGCGCGGCCTTCAGCTTGCGTCCGTATTCCTCCTGCCTGTGATTGTGCTTGCAAAAGTGCACAATCCGTCCATTGAGCGTGTGCATCCGTCCGTGACACTTGAGCACTGTCGTGTACTGAGTGCAGCGCCAATAGGTCTTATTATTCAAGGCCTTCTCGCGGACATAGTAGAAGCCCTCGTGCAGGAGCAGGATGCGGCCCTTTTGGCTGATCACATAGCAGAAGTTGGGCAGATCTGGAATACATATATATGGAAGAGGAAACAACTTTAGTTACATTCTAGTCATGAGAATCTGTAAAGCTAGTTGGTAAAGTTCTAGTTCAGCTATTTCCCATATTTGTACACTTTTTGAACTTTATTCTCAACTATACACATTGCTAATTCTAATATGTCTTAGAGTGCATCGTCCGTCAGCTCGTGCAGCTCGTGCACCTCCTCCTCGTGCAGCTGGAAGCCGACTGCACCGTCCATGTCGCGCTCCAGCTTTATCTGGGCGGCGTCCTGCGTCTGTGTCTGGTTGATGGAATGCGCCTTGCTGGAGCTATATTTGTTGCGCTTCAGTTCGGCATGCATGTGCTCCGCCTTGTTGATGATGAACTTTGGCGGATTCTCCTTGAGCATGGTGATGCGTGCCGGGCACTTGAGCTTCTTGGTGGCCATCGAGCTGCAGCGCCACAATATCTTCTTTTTGTTTTCGCTCATGATCAGAAATCGTATGCCATTGGCCATGATGGCCGGGCGACCGCGCAGCGATTGTGTGAAAAAGACGAGCACATCCTCCGGATTGGGCACCTCATCGTTGGCCAGCACAACTGAAAGGAGGATTTAAACATGAAGTGGAATTAGTTAAGGTTGCGGTTGTATACAATTATTATGTAGGATTAGCCAAATATGTTTACAAGTTTTTTGCTCCTAGTTTTTCTTTATCTTTCTCTCTTTTTTATTTACAAGCCAAGTTCGAAAAAAATCACTTAAATTAGATGTTGAACAGCTCCGTGTCCGCCTCGATCCCGACGGGCACACGGGCACGCGATCTGCTCCGGTCCTGCGGCTGCTTCTCCTTGCGCTGCGGCTTCACGTGGCAATGCTGATGGATCTGACGAAAGTCGCTGTAGTCGAACTTATTCATACAGATCAGCACCGGGCAGCGGACATGACGATAGTACCAATGGCAGCGCCAGAAGAAATTCGAGCGATTCTCGTTGTTGCGAAAGTATTTCAATCCGTCCAGCCAGAGCAGCTGGCCGCCGCGCTTGGACAGCGAGAACTGAATCTTAGGCTTCAAGCCGCTGTACTGGCCATGGCCCGAGCCGCGAGCTGCAAGGAAAGCAGAAAAATGGTTGAGAAACGGAGCAGCACATCAATAATAATAATCATAAT